ATATCAATTGAAAATTACATTCATCACACATTTATGTCTATAAATCTGTTTTCAGACACAAATAAATTCATTATGAAGGCATTATCTACGTGGTTGCATATTCAAGATCAGAATAATTTTTGAGTGCATATAAAAGTAATAACACTTCAATTAATGCACATTTATTTATTAAAGTCCTTCAACTTGTGTCGGCGCATAACCACTTACGAAACCTTGTAACGAAAATGTATTTGTTATAATCTTTTATAACTGAGCGCCTTATTCAACATTTAGGATTATCTTTAAAGCTGTCAGCCACAGAGAAGTTTAAGATGATCTCCTGCCATTCATATTTTATTCGTTAAAATGTTTTCTTGATAAACTCACAGAAGGCGTCTCCAACAATGTTTTAAAAAAATGAAATGTTAATGAATGAAGATAATGAAATAACAACTTTTTGAATGGAATAACGAAAACTCTGAATGGCTGCCAACTCGTTCAAAACCATTTAAAACAATTATAATACAATGAAGAAAATCATTATAAAATTTACTTAATATATACATATTTAAACACCACATATCAGCAATCAATAATTTGGCAATTGGCCTCAACCATCAGTTCAAAATATTGCAAGTTTTTCATGTCAGTATGGTTATATTTTGTGGTCCCTTGAGATTATTTATTTGAATATCATCAGTAATGGCAACTAAGTACATCTTTGTGTTTCTCCAGTACGTTAACACTATATAACTCAAGAAAATACAATTATTTGAGGACTTACTGCATGGCTCATATCGGACATGTGTATTTCTTATAGCCGTATTACTTTTAGGTAATATTTTCGTCATTTGTGTATCAGGAATAGAAATAGTACAGAGTAAAAATACTATTTATGATCATTATATTATATTGATACACGATCCTAATTTTCATGTGAGTATTAGATACGATAACTGTCTTCCATATTTAAAGCAGTCAGACATTTTATGTTATAAATGCATAACATAATAAAGACAAGCCAGACACAATAAGGTGTATGTAAATAAGTGAAATCGCGTTAACATGTCGTATGTAATAATGGTAGTTAACACTTGCCAAATCGTAAAATCTTCAACCGTCTGTTCAAAATCCTGCTGTAACATGTCTTCAAAGGTGACATTTATTTTCAGAGGGAGAAAGGAAACAAATAATTTCACAGATTTAGCTATTTCATTCACATATGAGGAAAACACTTGAAATTCAATGAAGAAATAGAGAAGAGGATCTTTTAAAGAAAGCCGACAAAAAAACGACCAAATTGAATATGATGCAGGTATGCAGAGATTAAAAAATCTGGAAACAAAGTGATCACTCGGAAGCAATAATCACAACAAAAGTACATGAAAATTGCAGACTCGGTTTGATTGAGTATGTACATGACATGAGGGATAATGAATAAATGCAACATCCCTCATGCCCCCAGCACCGGCTTGAGCGGTACTCAATTCCCAACACTTAATAGTGTTAAGCCTTTTTATTGACGGTGGTGAGGAATGTTGACTTATAACAAGCTTCTTTAAGGAGCATAAAAACTTAATATTTGAAAATGTTTCTTATAGAACTTAATGTACTGTTCACTTTCAGTAAAAACTGTACTAGTATAACGATTATTTATGATAAAAAATCTCAACATTAAGAAGATGGAACATAGAAATGTATGCAACTATATCTATACAAACAATTTGCTCATTTCATTGGCCCAAACAGTAGTCAACAAAACAAATTATAGAATCATGCTCGCTTGGTGTAGTATCATATTCACTGAAATGTTAATGTCGACTTAAACGAATTGCAATGCTTGTAGAAAATATTCTGTTTTTTATGATAAAAGAACAGAAATGTGTTATTTTATTTTTATTTTATTTTGATGTACAATCACATATCACCAATGACTGATTTACAAAGTTGTACAATATAATGATATTTAGACTCTTTCATACATATAGTAATAAATTATAGGATTTTTGTTTTGTTTAAGCCAAAAATGATTGCGCCTTTCACATATCCATATTAATATAGAGCATTGATTTAAATGACTATAAAATGCTGAGAAATTCTGACAGCCACGTATATGTTTTCTTTCAAAGCAAAGAGAAAAAAATTAAATAACAATTCATCTTATAATCGCTTTCGCCTTTTTTTTGCTAATAAAGTACCTCTTTAATTTATGTTTGAATAATTTTAACATTGTATAAAGAAGAAACAACTGGTTGGCACAATAGAGACAATACATGTAAAAACTGCTTGTTTTATGCAGTTTATACATCTCTTTATTTATGTTGAAATCAACATATAACTAGCATTTTACGTGCAGATACATACAATCTTTTTAGAATTTAAATTTTATCAAAACCATACAACCTGTTGTTCTAAATCTTTCTGCTTAACTGCTGTACATCTTTGATATCTTTTATGCAAAGTAATCGCATTTACGGTTTGCTTGTAAAATTTCTCTTATTAGCAAATTAATTATAAATTCTGATAAAAAAATTCTCAAGTGGGAAAGTTTTTGTATTTACTTAGAATACAGATGTTACAAATTATGTGCCGAGTCAAAAGTATCATTCTGTTTTATAAAATTGCAATTTATCTAGTTCCGCCGCCAATATTGCATTCTTGTTTAGGACACACACGTTCTTTTATACACGTGGACTATACGCTTGTACGTTTGCATCTGCCGTGTTAGTTCTGATATTTTGTTGTTGTGAGTGGCATATAAGAATCCCATTTCAGGTTTTAGAGAATTTAATTTAACGTTTTGATAATGTTTGACAAGTCTAATGAAATGACATCTATGAAATGTAATTATTATGTTTTAAATCCCGATAATGCAAAAACATTGTGGTGATAAACTGTTTCAGATTACCACGTTAATTTCCGTTTAAGTATCTACAGATTAAGTTTGACAGAAAGGCAAAACATTGATTCATATTTTCATTTAGTTGCCAAGAATCATAATTATTATGCTTGAACAACGTTTCCCACAGTAATTGATTCTGAATTTCTGTAAAGAACGGTAAATAATATTGAAAGAAAAATGTTGAAATAATTATTTTTCATATGATAACAGGGCCTTGAAACATTGTTTTGCTAGGTTAAAACATTCAATGCATATACATATATATAATAAATATGGCTGACTCAATTGCGTTCTACTGGTAACTTGTAAGGAAACGTACATTTAAGGTAATAAAAGTAAAGATATGCACACATGAGTCAGAGAGAAAAAGAGAATTGCTCTAGGACGACCAAAACCGGCACAATCGAAAATGTTGCAGACCCGGTTTGATTGAGCCTGCTCATAGATGCAAGCTACTGCCTACGCCCCTTAGCATCGGCTGCACAGAATCCAATATTTAATGGTAAATATTTGAATCAAATAAAATCCGCATTTGTGTTAAATATGCATTTATCATTGAGACACAATAGTGCTTTACGATAAAAAAAATGTAAATGACCCAAATATGAATGGATGACTGTGCAATAAACGAGAAAATCAATTGGAAAAACTAAAGAAAATCGAAATTTCAAAAAGGATCATAGGTCATGAAGCCTGCTTATCATAGAAATGCTCTCAAAAGATAAAAAAAATCAGGCAACCTGTCATTAATGTAATTATTTAGAATCTCTAATTTAACATTTTATAAAGTTCTAACGCGTATAAGTAGATGTTTCTAATTAATGCCCTCTCTATTATCAATTTGAAATTAAAATAAAGTGCATCAACGGTAAAGAGCCTTATACTGGTGGCAAATGATTATCATTTTAAGTTCCAGAAGGATAAGAGTTAATTGGTACCGTAAGATGCTTTGCAGAGATTTCATTATAAGCCTAATTGTAATTGGTGATATCATAAACCTGTAAACTGAATGTCAGATTATTAAGACAAATTACGTAATTTCCGAATGAGATTTTTCTTATTTAGTTCATGTCTGTCTGCACTTCAACATTAATTAACAACTGATAACTAGTAAACACTGTCTGTCTCCTCATAAATTCCAAACAAAAGACAATTAGTGTCAAAATCAATAGAAACAACATTATAGCAGAAATATTTTTTTTGTTAATTTATTTTTTGTAACAAAAATATTTAGAGTATAAATGTTGTTTGTTTGCTTGTAGTATGTTTCAATTGTTTATATGTTGTTTTTACCCCCCCCCCAGGTGGTACAAAGCGGGCGTGATAGATGATGCAAATTTTCACATCTCTCATTAGCAGTCTCAATCAAAGAGAGACTCCCAATTTCGTATTGTATTTTAATATTGTTGTTTTACTGTTTCCTAAAGGGTCACCCCTTTGCCAGAAAAATCATTTTAATTGTGTTAACTAATATATGTTGTTGTAGTTGCGTTTTCTTATTTCAGTTTTAGCCCTCAAATAATTACATTTTAAAAGTTGTGAACAGTCATATTTTGTTCTTTTTTTGCGAATATTTTTATTTTTTTTGAAAGAGAATGTGCATCCTAAATATAAAAAATACGTCATCATATCTTACCATAAGTTCTTGTGCCATTAAAAAATTAAGACATATCATTTAATTATATAACTTTTTACTCAAATGGCTCTTATGTATCAATACAACTTAAGTCAAGATAATTTATTTAAAAAAAAAATTGAAACAACATTCATAATAGGGACGGGTATCTTAAACTTATTTTTTATTACAAGATTTATTCTTTGTTCTTTAAATAAATCATAGCAATTTCGTGAAAATTATTAAGCAGTTTGGAATGCAAAGTTTTGTAACATAGCTATCTTAAAATCAATAAAAGGGTAAGTAAAAATAAACAAAGTATGTTTGAATAAATATTTGATTTAATATATTAATATTTTCTAAAGAAGAATTTAATAAATTTGAAAGCGATTTAAGTTGAATGATTATGTAAACTTAGCAATTGTCAACATTTCTACAGCGTAACAAATACACATACTGTTTTACTCTCGTATCGTATGGAAAGTATTTGGGAGTATTTTCATTCGTCGATACAAAAACCTTTGTACAGCGCGTAGATATATAAAGACCTGTGTTATATTTTCTCAAGGTAAATGTTTTGTGTCTATGATGAAAATTGGATACTGTAGAAATTGTACGATGGAAAGTAGCTCTCAAAGAAAGATATGTCAAAGACGTAGAATTATCATTAGAATAATTGTGGATTTAACAATTTGGATGGCAGGTATTTTCTTCAGACTGTTAATTTTTGTTGTTCTTAGAGTAACTTTTTATTTTGAGTTTTCTTAAATAGATTAGTTTTCTTAAATATTAATCATATTAATTGGTCAAGACCTACCTAATAAATCTTTCCAAGTTATAATTTAGCAATTAAATATTTAAATATGTTGAATCAAAGTTTTGCATGTAGATTAAAAGACAAATGCAAATTAAGGAGTTTATGAACATTTTTGTTTTTCAAAATCAAATAAGGTTTTGGTACACTTATAAAATATTTCATGTTAGTAACATTAACTTCAGTTACAATGCTCATTAAATCTTTTGATAAAACATAATGTGTTTTGCATATGATTCATTGAATACATAGACCTCCAGTCATACCGTACACCATTTTATGTCAAATGTTAAATGTATGTTGTTTTTTTACCGGCCACTGAAGCGAATTTAACATTATGTAAATGTTTCAAACTTCACAATTTCGTTTTATTAAACAAAAACATTTTAACAGACGTTTATCTTTAATTGAAATTGCGGATAATTATCCTGAGATGAATCCAATTAAATTTGCGTTTAACTGAAAGATACAGATTTTTCATCAAATGTAAAATTGCCTTTATATTTTATTTTAAATGTATCATATTAAATAGACAAAATCAAGATCCTCGAAATTACGAAGTTTTAGATGAACATATAATGTCATTAATATATATACATGTCTGTCAATTAAGTAATGTATAAGCTGATACAAAAGAAATAATTATAATTAATGAAGTTGGAAAATTGATGCAGTTATGTAAATGAAGTTGTATAATGTCAACGTTAATGAATTATTTATGTAAAATGTATTTGTGTTGATTATCAAACACTAGTTGTAAACTTATCGTTCATTAAAATGTCTAAACAAAAATGTGATTTAAGAGCATAATTTATGTATCAAAATACACCGTTCTAGGAGTGAGTACATTTTAAGCTTTTCAGAAATGCAACAGTGTTTAACATGTTTCATGTGAAAAAGTACACTGGTTCAATTATTTAATGTAAATAAAATTCTAACATAGATCTTCTGATGAACTACAGTTAGCGGGTAGATGTTGCAAGCATTATAATTTTCGATTATGTACTAAGCAGCAATAATTGGCAAAATAAAATGTATCAATTAGGCATATCAAGATATGTTATGTCTGGAAAAAGAGACATATATACAACCATGTGTTTTATTTAATTGCGTTTCATCATATCAAACAAAAAATAACTTGCAGAAAAATTTTGTTAAAGAAAATGGACTTTCATTATACTTTAAGTGTTTTGAGTTAATTCAATCTTATTCATAATAATTTGATCTTTTAAACAAATTCATATTCTGTCATTTTTTAACTATAAAGGTTTAACATTGATACTTAGATATTATATTAACATCATATAGAAGTTCAAGTTTGTAACGATTCTAAAACTGTCTTATATCTTTCAGCATCCCTCATTGCATTTTATCTGTTTTTATTCGAGAAACCATATGAAAGAGGCTTCTTTTGTGACGACAAATTTCTTTGGACCTTTTATAACTATTGTACATAGTCACGGATCACTCAATTCTCTACAATGAGATAATATTTTGATATGTCTTGAAAACATTACAGATACACAACCACGTGTCTTATTTAATCGCGTGTCATCATATCAAATAAGAATTTAACCTGCAGAAAAGTTTTGTTAAAGAAAATGGACTTTCATTATATTTTAATTCCATTGATTTAATTTAATCTTATTCATAATGATTTGATCTTTAAAAAAATCATATTCTGTAATTTTTTATCTATAAAGGTTTAACAGTGAGCTATATTTTAGATATTATATTAACATCATACAGAAATTCAAGATTGTAACGATTCTAAAACTGTCTTTTATCTTTCAGCATCCGTAATTGCATTTTATCTGTTTCTATTCGAGAAACCATATGAAAGAGGTTTCTTTTGTGACGACAAATCCCTAAGTTACCCATCTGTACCAGAAACAATTTCAACACCTGTTATGGTGGTAGTAGGGCTGACAGCTGCTTTGATATTGGTAAGAATGTCTTTACAGATTAAACAATACTTAATGATTTCTGATCATAATATGGCATTTTAATAATACAAATATATAATAAGGCCATTTCTTACCTACAATATGTCATCACGATCAATAAGACCAGTGATTGGCCAAAAATAAAATGTCTGAAAAACTATTTTTCTGAGCCTTGATATTCTTGATTTTACAAATTTAAACTGTTAGTAAAAAAAATGGCCTGACGCAATTGTTGATAATTTTCGAAGTTAATTCTTTTTGAAAAACAATTACATGTAGTCAGTTCATGAATGATGCGTCGAGTGCATGCATTTATCATAAACTTTAAGTCTCATATTCAAGCTTCTTTGATATGTTTATAAACTTATGAAAATAAATATTACGTTTTTTCTTGTAGATTATATCTGTAGAAGTGTTAAATTGGTTGGATCTCAAATGCCGGAAAAGATACCAGCATGCAAGTAGTGCTATATTTTGTGTGAAAAGCTACATGGTGTTTATGATTGGGTTCCTAATACAAGAACTGTTTGTAGACACTCTTAAAAACAGAATTGGAGTACTAAGACCAAATTTCTTTGATGTTTGTAAACCACAGTTTAACTTAACGTTATGCCCGGGGTAAGTCTTGATAAAATCTCTGTATTTGAGATTATATCTCAATATAAAGTATTAAATAATCTATTCTTGAAATACTTTACTTGTTTCCACCGATTAAAAATAATCATAACATGCATTTGACATCTATTTCATAACTAGTTTTCTATAGACAATATGGCAACGCTGCCTTCAATAGTTATTTAAGTTGATAACTAAAAATATTTCGTTAACTAATTGTTTAATTGTAATGCATTAATTAGGTTATTTCAGTGTAGCACTGTAAATCATGTAAAATGCCTAATCGGATTTTATTATAAAACGGATTTGATATTCCTTTAATGTCTGCTTATAGGTAATACATTGGGCATATCCACTTCTATTCAACGTGGAATATTAATAAAACATAATTGCCATTTAATTGGACATGCAGGAGATATGTCTGTGATATTGAAAACACTACAATAAAAGGAAAAATTAATCGTGATCTTTAATCATTTATGAATGTCGTATAATATGATCTCGTATGGTAGAACTTTTTACGCTGTGATTTCTTCATATGGAATCTTTAAAATATTTTTTTTACAAACACATATTTTATTAAATTATACTTAAGTAGCACATGCTAAATTGTTTTAAAGGTATATAACAGAATACATGTGCTCTGGAAATGACGAAAAAGAAATCAGAAGCAGCCGACAGTCTTTTCCTTCCGGGCATTCATCTTTTGCCATGTTCATTGCAGTTTATTTTAGCGTAAATATTTATGTTTTACATTTGCTTGTCTAAAGGGTTTTAAATTCTGCGTGATATCGTATAACACAATGATTAAATAAGAAGTATCAAATAATGCGGTCTTTTTTGAAAATAATATAATGGAACCTTATAAATAATTACCCCATATAGGTTCAGCTAATTTAAGGAATAATATATTACCCTCTATTTCAAACTTAAATAGTGTTTAAATATAACTTATGAATAAACTTTCATTCATTTTAATAATATACCTGACGATAATTACATTTGGCAATTTATTGATTGTACTAAAAATGTTTAGAAATGAGCAATAGAATGAAAGAGAAATTAATACTTTCATTAATTGACGTGTACTCCTATAAATACATATTAAATCATTTTCATTGAATGCTTTGCAGTTGTACATAGAAAACCGTTTGCATATAAGGTTCTCTCGATTACTGAAGATCTTTCTACAAGTAAGTCTTGTATTGGCTGCAATTTTATGTGGTTTTGGCCGCATCAGGGAAAACAAACACCATCTTTCTGACGTTCTAGCTGGTTTTATACTAGGCATCACAGTTGCTGTATTTGTTGTAAGTACATATTCATTATCTAAAATTACTTGATAAAACTTGTATTATGATGAACTTAATTTGTGATTACATCCCATTTACAAAGGTCAATTGTGTCAAATAAGAGATGATTGCATTTCATTATTATAAACAAATAAAAGAAAGATCTAAAGGTCACACTTGTTAAACATTCAATTTATAGCTTCCCTTTTTCAAACCATAATAACGTCAATGAGTCTTTCGATCAATTCTATATTGTAGCATACAATGATGTGGAGGAAATTTGTAGAAGATGACAGCCGTAAAGAGGGACAGGAAAACCAGGAGGAAAAATCACGTGACTGTTGTTGTGTATGTAACCAGCCTTCTGATATTGAATTTGATTCACAAACACCATCATCTATATCACAAAATGGATATTTCCAAAATATAGAAAATGGAAGGAATTCATCATCTGCTAAACTTATATCCATTCAAAACAATAATAATCAAACTATTTCAGAACGATCAGAAATAATGTAGGAAAAATAAAAGACATTTTAACGATTCATCTATTTTTATAAAAGACCTGTTGCAAGTTTATCTCATAAGTTTAATAAGTGCAATCGAGAAGAAATACTTGACAATAAACATAATCAAAACTTATGTATATAGTCTACTAACAAGTCAGATATTTGCATGTATATAACTTTCACTTCATATCACATGTACTTTTGTACGTATGTCATTATTGTTCTTAGTTGACATGAACATTATGTATGATTTATACAGATCTGAACAAAATGATTAAAACATTTGACAAGATATATACTCTGACATCTATACAAGTAATTGTGAAGAATTGGTACTGATTAATATAATATTGAATTGTTATATGAGTTTTATATATTGTTAATTTCAATAAAACAAAATTGTGTTCATTTTTATCATTTCGTAACAAATGATGATGATGTGAAATCTGTTGTAAAATACTTCCCAAAAATAATACAATTTGATAAAACACAAGTGCGTCCAGCAACAAGCATGTTAAACCTTAAATATGCTAAACATTGCAATTGTAACCTGATTTAATTACGTTTTGTTTGATAATATAATGAACGTAGCTCACACCATAAGTTTTCCACTGTCGACCGATTTATCAGTATGTAATGAAGTTTATATATATTTATTTAGCGGACATATTTCTCCTCTCTTAGCTAGTGATTTAAGATAATTTTCTCTCCTGTATGTCTTGATAGAAATGCACCCAGCATGCACATTGCATACCGCAAAATAAGGATGTTGATAGAATGAATGACATAGAAACATCTGCAGGTATCAAAGTTAAATTCAATTGGGTACTACATTACAAAGTGTTGACGTTAACAATATCTCAAACAAGCTTAATAAGTTTTCTGTGCGTATATTATTATTTAGTATTATTAACTATACGTAATGCACATTCTGGTAATTTGAAATAATACATTTTGAAGTTTTAAAACTTGTCTGCACACGCTATGATGATTAAAGTGGTCCAGTATATTATGTGTTCACAACATATAAGTGATTATACTGATTCACTTGTTGAATCCTTTTATATGTTACTCAGTTTTATTTCTTTAAATTTATTCTTATTGTTCTTATTTGTTGAATTAATTGTGCTAAATAATATATTTAACCATGCACTGTTACATGATAAGTTGACATTTATAAAACATAAATGATATATTTAAATATTTTGTGAATCGTTTTAACCTTACAGGCCAATGATTATTGTGTACGATGTCAGTTAATTCGCAATTTAGTGGTTATAAAACTCTTGTCAAGGCACAACAATTGTCAAGGCCTGTAGTTGTGCACCTTTGTAAATATAACATTTGATAATATTAATGGTGTGTCATACTTAAATGTATAATAATGCAAATTGTGAAATATTTTATGCAAAATCCACCACAAATAAAATAAAATGTATATTTTTTTCTTAATAGACATGTCTTGGTATTTGTGTCAGCTATTTCGTAAATGTTTTTAATTCGGACTCATTCTCTTATTTTTTATGGATTTCCTTGTTTGTACAATTATAAATTAAAGGTGTTAGTTTAAACCAACATTATTTTATTTATGTTATTTTGTAATAATTGAATAACATACCTATTTCGTCGGTTACTGTTTGCAGATTTTACAACTAAGTAAATCTAGTCGTCATTTGTGATCAATATCAGATTGACATGTAAGTATTGGTCTTTGTTTGCATTCTGAGTGTAGAATAAAAAGCGAATGACGCAATAATAAATAAGTTACAAATATCTGTTTTAACATTTCAAATTCTATTAAACATATTGGAAAACATATTTTATTGCCAATATATTTTAACGGCAGTTTAGGTTTAAAGAAAGTTTACAAAAAAAAACAACAAAAGGAATTTACAAAATTAAGGGATTACAGGTAAATAATGATAGTATTTACATAACAGAATGATAAATCGTATAGTACTAGATGATACTTTATTCAATATATCAAGTATCTATTTAGGACATGTTGTACTTACATCAAAGATAAGATAAATTAGAAACCGCGAGCAATGAACTTAACGAAACAGAACAGTAATGGAACTTGTTAAATTGAGGTAGGAAACGTCATGGAAATAATGAAAAAGAGTCTTCATTTTATTGTATCTTATTGTGTTTAATCATTCATATATATGTTTCTAAATGCAGATATGCAAAATAGAAATACATATGTACGCTCGTTTAGTAAAATCATGCTTATTTACATAGTCAATCCTAAAATTTAATTTATGTTTGTTCGTTTACATATATTAACATTCAATCAAATTTAGATTTTTATCAAACGGTATTATTATCAATATTATCATCATCATGGCATATTGTAGTAAAAACGACTAATAAAGTGTATCAATGCCCACTTTCTGAAGATATTTTATCATTATAGATATCTGATTTTGAATTGATTGCATTGATGTAAACTTTGCGTTGGTTTTACAACTTTGTGTATATGTTCACATTCAAATAATTATGTATTTCTATTCACATGTATTGAATTTCGAAACAGTTTTCCGAAGAGATTATTCAAGACAGAAATAAACTACCTGATGTGTTATGAGTGGCTTTAAAACATCAATATCATAAAACAAAATGCATAATCTTTGATTAATTTCAGTTGAAACTACCTTGAGATAAGAGATTTTCAAAACAGTCAAACGTTTCCAACAAACATTTAAATAGCTGCAAAAAATAAAATATTTGGAAACGCATCGCAATGAAACTGTTTAAACAATGCCTCTTCTGTATAGCGAATCCGGTTTCATTGAAGACTCTTTTTCTATAGTTTATAAAGCATGACTAATATATCAAATTATCCTATGTATCTTCAAAGACTTGTATCCTAAGTTAGAAATGAAATATAAAATGTTTATCATTTAAATCAAATCAAGTTTGTCAGCATATTTTTGCATCGTTCATACTTGATATGTTTATGCAACTGTATTTTGAGCTGTCATTAGAAAGAGGCAGTTATACCGTGGAATAAAATTAATGGTATTTAATCATTTTATTCATGACATTTTTGTTCTTTGCGGAAGACAATCAGTTGTACGAAGTAACTAACATAAACTTTCATGTGAGAGAAAACTTTGTAGATAATAATGAAAATAAATTCCGCGTTATCCAAAAACTCAATATCAAAATGCTTGTTTCTTGCTTGTATGCCAATTCTTTAACGGAAATTAACAACTGACAACTGATAAATTTGACTGTCTCTATTGCATTCTTTAGACGAAAAATTCCGGACAGTTGGTAATATTACAGTTAAGAAAAGCAGCGGAGGCAATATTCTTTCAGACTTATTCAACTCTACAAAACGTTTCTAGTTTAATTTAACATTATAACCAATTAGGCTGTTTTCGTTTTCATTGGTATAATATTTTACCGCCAACAGACTGGTAAACTAGATGAATGCTAAACAGGTACTAGCTTATAAGTTCCCTTGTTATATTCATGTATCAAAGCTATAACTGATTAATCAGCAACTATAGAACATTCGTAACGAATGCTCCAAAATTAGATTTCAGTAGAAATAATCATTACATCTGTAGCAAAACTTTACGGATTAATTGTCGAAATAGCATAATATTATAGTCACCACAAACATTCATAATTTGTTACTTCTTATTTTTTCAATTTAATTTTTGACTTTTTTTTAAAAAATGCTTGTATCATCTGTATTAGCAGAGTTCTTTGTCAAATCTAGGAAAAGATTTACATTCCCCCTAGACGGAGGCGAAGAATTGTGTTTTTGTACTCTGATTCAGTTGTATATCAGAATAAGGTTTCTACTCTGTGGTTCATTTTCCTTCCCACTCGTCTGAATTGATTGAATGCACCCAAACTGGAAAATGGAATGTAAACGCATTGCATTAGAGAAAGATAAACATAACTTCGTAATACTTTATATTGGGTTTATATTTTAAGATATAAAATTCTTTGTTCAATATATCTACATTTTCGTTATTAAATGTAGCAGTAGCAGATAAAACAGCAAAACACACACGCACGCAAACGCACACACACAGGCTCACACATATGTTTACATTCAATCATTTTTTTATTCGATGGTTCACATGTAGGAGGACGTGCTTTACGAACTATTTGGAATCGAGGAAACGAGAGATGACGCTGCTTACGAATTGACGCCAATTTCCTCGTATAAATTCTATAAACTGGTGTAGATAAGATCTGTGGCGTTAGTGTTGTAAGATGCTACTTTAAGCTTCATATGAAAAGATAACATAATAAGACAGTAAAATATCAATGCAATGCGTTATTATTGTTGCCCTAAAAAGCTTTGTATGAGAACTAATACATTTGTTCCATAGGTTTTATACCTTGGCGACAGCAGGCTGCAATAAGGTACAGCCTTATACAAGCGAAACTACTACATTGATATGTCTTGTTAGGATTGAAATGATATTGGTCTGACTGGTGTTCATTGGATTGTCAAAAAACATCAACAACTTGTCCAATGGTTTTCGTGGTCAATTTCTACAAATCAAATAACTAAAACGGTGTATGATTGCTGAGAAACACCTATAAAACTAGCACGCATTTGATTTTACGCAAACAGCTATATAATCATGTTTAAACATTTATTGTGTGAAAGAGCGTACAATTGACAAATATCATCTGTTCCTTCAATGTAGTATGGAAACATATGTTGATCTCTTGCAAACATGAACTTATTCCTGCAATTAAGCCTACATGAAAGTAATTAACAGAAGTTTTATGAGTCCATTCACACCTACAAAGATACTTTTTTTAATATAAACACGTGTTGTTTAATGCCTACAAAAGTGGGATCAAATGCACCAAGCCTTTAAGTTTTGATGTATTGATGTTTTACCAATTTTGATCATTCAGCGTTTCTGTGAACACATAATTTAGTGTTTTACATAATTATGTCATTCATTGATACATTTAAAATAGATGTGATTTTTTTTTCAAAATATATTAAGGCAATTTATCAGGTTAATACTGTTATTAAAGAGCATATATATTTAATATACGTTTAAAGACATATTTCTACATGTAGTTATTCAATAATAACTGAAGCATGTTAAAGGGCAAAATGCTGGCAGTCAAAATGCATACAAATTCACCACATACCTGCAACTTTCAATCTCTACTCTCAACAAAAGTACATGTGGTAAGTTGAAACTATGTTAAAAACGTACATTATGATATATATTATACAGCTTTTAGAGGTATGTCAACTATATATCTTTATTCATATAACATGTTTTTCTTTCACAAACCCTTATTTGCTTTAAACACAATTTACGCTAAAGTTATTTATTGTGTACTTTAACGTTATTATTGCGTATTTATGGCGTACGCTCTTGTAATAATAATCGAATAAATAAA